CATCCTTTTATGTCTATGCTACTCATACTTCTATATTTTTCTAACCCAAAAACTTCCATCACCTCATTGACCACCTTCACATAGACAATCCAAGAGCCAACTCAACCATCAATAGTACTGTCAAGGTGATCTTTAATTATTTATGACTGATAAGTGACACACTTCAAAAAAAAAAAATCCACCTCAGAGAATACTCACTACTAACCAAATACAGCTACATGCTTATTAAACCCCTCACCCAATTTAATTTTAGGAAAACCTCACTATCGGTTACTTGCTATAAACGAACAGCCAACAATATCATAGAATTTTGGCCAGTAGGCTCAGAGATCATTTTGAACTATCATTTCACTTATATAGCAGAGAGAACAAAAGGAAAACAACAGAATAACATTACAAAACTGAAAAGCATACAACTGATAAAAAAAAATAGAAGAACACAAACAGCCAATGGCCAGCCAGAAGATTCACAAAGAGAAGCAAATATGCAGATACCAAACAGAGGTAAGTTACAAAACTTCACCAAGATAAAAAGCTCGACAAAGATTTTATAAAAAGGCAATTAAAACATACCTGCATTAAGTTCAATTCCTGCTCATTTTGTAAACGAGATATTCGAGCTGGGGACTTCCACAACAGCACCAATGTATCAAACACAACACGGTTGCTTTGCAACCAGCATGGCATCAACTTAACGAGGGTTTTAACCAGAGCAAGACCCTGAAAATACGCATCTGATGTTGCACCAGAGGTGGTAACTAATTGAGCTGATTCTTCAGATTTTGGTGTAACAAGACTTTCATCACCAATCAAAGAAGCTAGTGGTGCGGTGGAAGTTCCCTGAAACACCTCAGATTTTTGCAAAAAATTCGGAAACGCACTAGCTATTATCTTTTCTGGGGACTTTGCAAGTTCCTCTCTCAACGGTTGACCAGCATCTGATCGTATTATATACATAAACCTGCATCACAAGAATTTAAGAAAAATTAAGACAGAAACACCACCAAGTAAGACGAAACATCCGTGGACTTGCACCACCTGTCATAAACTCACCTCCTGAAATACTTAGGTTGACATAATCGAGTAAGAAAATAATCAACAGCAGCTGTAGGATATCGATTTAGAAACTTAGTAAGCGGCAAGCGATATGGACTGTTGATCTCACTATAAAATTGACCAGGTGGAAGAGCAGCTTCCAAATCAATAGTTAAAGTTACAAGATCATCAAGAAACTTCCCAGCCGCAGAAGGAAGCAGGTGGAAGAGCTCGATAATAGCTGCAAAGTTTAAAATAAAATCAATAGAGAACAGTACAAGATGTCAAAATGGAGGGTGGGAAAGCACTAGTATGTGAAGCTAGCAATGACCATGAAACAAGTATAACACACCAGCAGCTATTTTGGGTTCTTCACCAGCCTTCCAAGACTTCTGGCACAGTGCAAGTTTGTCTGGCTCCAGCCATTTCTTGAGATGCTCCAACAACTTACCACCTAAGGTAACATTGAACCAATTGGATAGAAGTTCAAGCAGGCGAGCAAGACCTTGCAAAAGAGGCATGCTGAGATTTTTGGTGTGCGCCAAATTAACTAATATAGGCCTCAAGCTGTTCTGTAGAAGTTCTTTTGGCATCCTTTGTTGTAAAATAACCTAAAACATAATTCAAGACAACAAGTTAGTGCACAAAATCATTAACATCACTAATCATTCAACCCAGAGAAAACAAATGTCAACTGAACAACAGCATTATCCAATCTGGAGTTGGATCAGAAACCTTAAGTTCGATATTGGGTAAAACCTTAAACATAATTCAAGACAACATGTTAATACACAAAATCATTAACATTATTAACCATTCAACCCAGACAAAACAAATGTCAAACTGAAAAACAGTATTAGCCAATCTGGAGTTGGATCAGAAACCTTAATGTTCAATATTGAATAAAGCAAAGACTCGGTACTGGTTTCACAACAAATAACAGATTGTCTCTTCGTTTAAATGCAACATGACAAGACCAGGAAGGACAATACATCTTAAACAAAACTGTTAAAATTGTGATATGGTGCAGCTTCCCCGATAGGGGAGACTTAAAGTCAGCGACGAAAAAGGCGCACAGTGAGCCGGGGAAACAAGCCTCCTATTTGCCATGGCAGGAGGCGTGAAGCGAAGAGCCTGCCTTATGAAAGCGAGGGGAACCATTATGCAAAAATAAAGATTTACCATACAATTCACCAATTATGACACAATTAAATACGTTAAAACGTGTCATGATAGCTAATAAACATGTAACAAAAGGCTACATTACAAATCCATATCAACATAAGAAAAAACATTTAACATTAAGCTTGAACCATGAACAATGTTAAATTTAAATAATTTCTTCCTAAACATAAAAATAAAAATACAATTAAATTAAATAACAGACAGTTCAAGTTGGTTTACACTTTTGTTGTATGTTTTTAGAATTAGACTTTATATGGTGTTTATAGGCATTAATTCCCTAAACAAACAAACACGGTCCAAGAAAAAACCAAGCTCCAATGCCAGTATACCCACCTCCCCACCTCCACCTCCCAGCAGAAAAAGAAAATGGAATATATGGCCTTATACATCGGCGAGCAGCAGTGAAAAATCAAAAATAAAAAATTGTGTAATTTAGAATTGATATAGGGAGCCCGTAAGTTGGAAACCCTAATTATTTGTCTAAATTCATGCCCATGCCTCGGCTCTTTGTGGCACTTGCCTCGCCAACCCACGCCTCATGTGAGGCGAGAGTCCTGGCGGCGCCTTTTGCAAGCCCACCACACCACAGCTACTCGAGGCATCCAGGCCTCGCCACACCTCGCTTCACGTCATGGCATCACCTTTTCAATCACTGTCAAAGTCAATGGATTCTTGGCCATCTTTCTCAAGGCTTTCACATTGGCCCAACGTAAAACAGAAACTAAAGCCTTAATAGAAATATCATATAAAGGAAAAAGGCAGCACATAAAAAAGTGAAGAAGCACATATACATAGTAAAATGGAGCAGCAATATATTTATAACACAAAAAGTGGAGTTGGAATACTGAATAGGATAAATTAACAGTTTAATAGTTAATTTAATGGAAGAAAGTTTCATGTGACTGCAAAACGATAACGACCGTTGCCTTGGGGCTGAACAAAACATGGATATTGACTATCCAAGTCACTAATAGTTCTAGTTGTGTGCTCATTTTTAAGCTACTTTACAACCAGATATCATTAAAACTATAACTTCAAAATATTGAATTTCAGCCAATTCTATCCCAAAAATGCCTATACAATCTCCACGAACTCAGCCATATAATATAGAAAAAGGAATACCGAGAAGCATATGATAACCAAAGATCAAAAGAAAAAAAGAGATTTCAATGAACCTGGCGTAGCCCTTCCTTGGCAACAGCTACAATTTCGAGACTTCTGCTTGTCAAAGACTTGAAGAACATGGAAATTATTTTTGCTCGCAAGTCGGAGTGATTTTGAGTTTTAAAGTCTGCCCATGCCATGGCAGTGCACAAGAGTTCAATGCAAGCAGTTCTGAGTTTGTTCAGAGATGCGGCCGCTTTTGGATTCATAAATTTCACAACCCACACTGATTCATCGGCCTCAGCTATTTGCAAAGCTTCTTGCAAAAAATTAATGAGTTCTGGTGTTAACTTAAGAAGCGGAGGCCTGAGAGCGAGGCAGAAATTCAGAGAAGTAACGGTGCCAACCTGCAAAATTACAATAACTTAGCAATTACACACGTGAACTCATCTTCATCGAGATCGAGAATAGGAAACTCACCTGTTGATCCACAGTCTTAGAACGCAGTGGCCGTATGATAAGAGGCTGCAGCAAAGGCAGGTGCAAAGGTTCAAGTAATTCAGAAACCTCACTCCCAGTCCTACTTGCCAAAAGTGCTAAAGAAGACTGCACAACTTTTCTCACATTTATAGAAGAGTTAGCATTAAATAATTCTGAAGCCAAAAATTCAACAACGGCTTGAAAACTCTGCCGACGAGCTTCGCTGTTTGCTTCATCAACGTTATTCACCACTCGTAGAACTTGAGTAAGCACTTGACTTGTCTCTTCCTGTTCTTTAGTTGCATATGCAGGGAGTCTTTTAAGAACATAGACCAGACCCCGAACTATGCGTACTTGAAAGAGACATAAAACTTCAACAGTGATTTTTCCAACCAATGCACCAAGCCCCATAACACCTCCCATCTGTGCTTGCCAGGTAGATCCATAACAGCAATGTAGAAGTCGGGGCAAAAGTTGTTCAAAACAAGGAACCCGAACACTTGGAGGAGGTGAATATACAGGGCTCATTGAGGGGCTTGACACAATCATAGGAGTGCTAGGACCTCCTCTTGACATCATAACATCAGAGTATTTGGAGTTAGCAAGGAACAAAAGTGTCTCAGCAAACATATTCAATGCACTCAACGAAGCTTTGGCGTGCAGTCTATTTTCATCTGCCAGTACTTCTACCAACGCGTCCAAAAAGATCAATGGATCCAACTCTTTCAAAGAAGTATTAAGCCTCAACCTTGAAGTCACAGTAATGTTTGACGAATGCATGGGGCCACCTACTGATGCGGAGGAAATCGAGCCCTGCACAGCTGGACTCTCAACATGAAAAATAATAGCGAAGTGGCGACATACATGGCCCACATATTCATCTTTGGGTTCATTTAACTCAGATTCTGCACTTGCAGCAATTATTGTCATCAATAGAATCTTAAACACGGATTTCTCAGCCATAAGTTGAGTCTTTGTCTTGACACCTAAGTCAGCCTACAAAAACAGATTATAATAGTTTAACTACATGAAAATATTATCCCAATCAAGTCCCAGACTATTGCTCCTCAGTCATCTCAAGAAGTTACTAATAATTGGGAAACAAAAGAAACAAAAAAAAAAAAAAAAAAAAAAAGGAATTTACAAACATAATAAGCTTCAGAAGAAATAAACATGATAATACAAGTGGGAATTAACAGTTTCTTTTACAGAATAATATTAAAAAGAAAAACATAAAACAGAGTATCTCACATGGCGCAGGAATATAGTAACCATAACACTTTTAAATGAGATCGAGTGAGGGAATGTGAGTGCATATGTGTGCGTGCGTGTGTGTGCGTGTGCGTGTGTGTGTGTGTGTGTGTGTGTGTGTGAGAGAGAGAGAGAGAGATAACCGAAGAAAGATAGTCACAACAATTAGAACTTATGGCGAAAACAAAATATATATATACACATCCACATTATTATCCTACCTTTAGATCAGACGTATCAGACCTTCTCCAGGATGGATCAACTGAAGAACCCAGACAAGTTGACAGATGCCTAGATGTTGATCCTTCGTCATTAACAAGCCCAGGTAAATTTAGCTGAGATGACAAGCATACACGAAGAAATTTAAGAGCTTGCTTCCGATAGAAGATATCCACGCAGCTATTCTTCTGCATGACAGCAGCTACAGCAAGATTAATACAGCGATCTAGTGGAACCAAAAACGGGGTAGATGGCTCAAAGGTAAGAATCAATCTAAGGCCATGCTCCGGATTTTCCTTGCATTCAAGAGCAAGAGGATCCTTAAGGAAACGCCTATTACGACCACCTAATTTCCCAAGAAGTTGCAATGACTTTCCGCCCCAAGGATAAGGTGCAGGTCTTAAATGAGACCATAATGCCAAAATCACCTCAGACATCACGTTTGCCATACTTGGTTCTAGAAAGTCAGGGTTCAAGCTATCAATCCAAAATTCAAGTGTTCTTAAACCAAGATTAATGAGGTCATCAGTTCCCTTGAGGCACATAACAAGAGGCTTCATTAGACGAGGAAGATGAGGCAACAGAGAGCTTAACCGTGCAGGCAAAGTTAAACAGAGCTCCAACAAAAGCTCTCGCATATCTTCAACAGTAGGCCCCTCAAGCATAACCAACAACATATTTAAACATGGTTGCAGCATAGGAATCAGGTCACGAAACAAAAGCTCAAATTTACCTCCTGCAAGTGCACGGAACATTGTCCGAAGAAGTTGCAAATAAGCAATTGGTCTCTCAACCTCTGTCGCAGTTTTCATGCATGTTTCCATGATTACAGAAACATGTGGTTGAAGTATGCGCTCACAATCTGATGGAGCCTTTGCAACTGCACTGAATAGAAAGCGGAAGAGATGCAAAACTAGTTTTGCAGCAGGAGAATCGGGATGCTTAAGAACGTCAAGTTTGCTGCTCACAAGAAAATTAACCAGCACATCAGCAAAAGGACGAAAAACTTTGGGCGCATGCAGAAGAGCAGAAAAGATGTGGACGAGCTGGCTGTTCAAAATCATGCACTCAAATAGCTCTGGCATGCACAACGAGAACATGTCCATTAAGTCCCTTGGCTCCATGATGGCCAAAATATTGGAAAATAGATGGATCATTTCTCTCTCTTCATCTTTCTCCTTAAACAATGCTAAGCAATGCACACCACTCTTTAAAACACCCGAGGCTCTGCAAACCTATCAAACAAAAAGTAAGACCCTGACAGCAGTGAATGAAAAGGAAATGTAACCAGAAGAAGTAGAAAGAGATGAAAAAAGCAGTACCTCATCTTCTCTCATCCCTTTGAAAGGTTGTGGTATGGAAGAACCTGATGATGTCGATGCAAGCACCTGCTGAGGGTTCCCATGCGTGGAAGGTGAAACCTATATTAAATACTTGTAATAAATAAGGCCAGAACTCGCACAAATATAATCATTCAATAAGCAAACAAACCTGTGACCGCGGTATGTGTGCATGTGTTATGCTCCATATAATAGTCTTCATTCCTGCAAATAAAGACAAAATTCTCAAAATGGGTATACGAAATTCTGATTAATATAATCATCATCACCACGTCTGGCAACGAAAATCCCTACAAAACAAGAGTTACGGTTATCAGTAGAGCGAAAGAACGAACAAGGGGAACCCATACCCAACACTAATGTCTTTATCAGATGCTTGCAATCATTGACTTCCTTGGAATGCTCAACAGATATTGGCAAGTTAAGAACTGCCTGTTAAATTGAAGCTTGTGATTAAATAGCAACGGAAGTTCAAAAGAAATCACGAAACAAATCAAATATATTAGAAAGTTCAGTGGAGGATATATGAAGTAAAATATCCTAGCTATCCCTGATAAGACCAAAGCTAATCCTTTTGGTAGAGACTCTGAGACACGCACACGCAGTAGGCAAAAGAAAATTGTGTCAGCAATGCCCAATTTAAATAAAAAGGAAAAAAAAAAAGAAACAGTAAACCGCCCAGGAGATGAAAATAACGCATGTCAAATGTTTTAAGTGATTATAGAGTGAATTGAAACAATTGTGTTTAGTAAAATTGTTGCTATGTAACTGTTTCTTTTCAATATGCCTGGCCTGCCTCATAATTTAATATAGATAGTTACAAGAAATAATCTAGATAATTAGATGGTGCATAGCTAATTTGCATTATCTATTAAAAACAGCATCTTAATCAGCTGTTGTTAGAACATTAAAATACGTACATAACTTTGTGTTGGTGGTAAATCTCACTGCTAATACAACAGTGTAATCTTTGACATCTGACTATCTGTAAATTTGAAATGTACTACCCTCCAGAACTTTCCAAGTTGAAAAAATTGCAAAATATTCTGGAATGTGGTAAAAATCCAAAAAATGGTAGCTCACTTGCTATAAGCAGGAAGAGAATTTTATCCTCTGATAGTAGTATATACAAATATACGAGTGTGTGTGGGTGGGTGGGTCGGTAACATCAGAACCAAACGAGCGCATATACCAAGTAAGAATCTGGTTGTTAAAATTCTGGTTAGTAACCATAAAACACAAGGAAAAAAAAAAAAGAAAAGAAACAAACAGATACTCGAACCAAAAATGTGATAGTAAGCATTAAAAAATACTCGTATGCACAGATACTAGTAGACAAATTCTAACCTAGAAAAGAAAGAGAATGCAAATACATCCTAAACGTAATACAAAATGGAGACAATAAATTGCCTCCACATTAAGTATTAGAGAAAGAAAGAAACAAATCTATCCACTTTAACTAATTTCAAAGCAAATAAAGAAAACATCAAAATCTACATTTTAGAAACTACAATTCTTCTCAGTTATTTAAGAATTCCTAAACTATTATTAACAATTAGTTAAACGTAGGGTTGTCAAAAGAAAAATAAATGAAAAGAAAGAAGTGAATGAAAAGAGAAACACACACACACACAGAAGCTATCACCTGTACTGGAACTTCAAGTTTTGACCTCAATGTAGACCGACTCTTCCCCTCCTCACCCTCTTCCAACAGCTATCTCATAAACAAACACAGATCCCATAAACAACAGAAATCACATCTTTATATGATTGACAAGAGAATACGAGCAGAAATTGGATAAAACGAGCTCAAAAAAATTTATTGTGAAGTGTCTCCAACTAAACAATACTACCAGAAAAATGTAGTCATGTTTGGACTCCATTATTTATTGGTCTCATAGTGATGTTTAAGTGTTTCAGTTTACCTTGATCGCTTTATCACACTACTTTTCCGTATAAAAAGTTAATGGGACTCACAAATAAGGTACATTTGCACTTTCTCTATCTTTTGACTATTTTAAGATCAACGTGAACTAATTTGTATTTGTACTATTCTAATCTCAAGGGTTTTTGGCTATAATGAAAAGCCGAAAGTGAAAAGCAATAAAAAAATCTTCTCCCTACATATTGTGGATGTCTAATAGAAAGCAAGCAGACACAAATTTAAATAGGTTTTTGAGTAACTGTAGCATTTGCTTCTATAACGAATTAACAAAGTCTAGCCAAAAATCAGCTGGTTCATGGACACTGAAAGTACTCTTTCTATATGGAGACAAAAGGTATCAACAGTGGGGAAATTGGGGCTGATGGATAGATAACTATGCCAAAGAAAAGCCAATGGTATACAGAAATGGCACCTGAGGAATAGTGCGCTTGAAAGTGTTAAACTTCCCAACAAAAGCATCCAATATACGACCCTGAGATTAAGAAGATAATTTTAGATAGAATACAATCATAATGTGGTCATTGTAAAATTGAAGATAGCTAAAAAAAGACATACCAGCAAAATCCTTGCTTCATCCATTGACACCTGATCTACTCCTTTCTCAAATATTGGCTCCACCTTACAGGTAACAAATCATTTGCCCAGAACAAAACATAAGAAATCAACATAGGAGACTCACAATACAAGACGAGGAGTATACATGATACGCAAAAAATAATAATAATAGCAATAATAATAATAGTTTGCTAAGGATCTGAAAAGAATCATATAAAGTGTATACCAGATTCAACATCAAACGCGCACAAGTAGTGTGAATGCTCAAGGACAATGAGGCGTCGTGCATATTGCTTGAGAACAGGTAAATAATTCGTGACAACTGCAATACAAGTATACGGAAAAGCAACCATAATGCTTCATTAAACTAAACCAAGAATGAGCCATGTAGAACTAAATAAATGAGGATCGTTTCAGTGATGTGATCCCAGGTAGCAAGCAGAATTCAGGGTCCTACAAGTTATGTTCTGTTTACCTGAGACAAAGAAAGATCTCCTCTGACATGGTGGACTATCTCTGCCAGAAGACTGTAGGCCAATGGCCTCAATGTCTCAAAGCATGCACGACCAGTGCCAACAAGGACCCTGACCATCCAAAGATGAATTCATAATGGACATATACGCAATAGAGAATATAAAACTAGAGAAACACAAATATTTCAGATACACTGACAAATACTTATATATAAAACTACACAACAAAGACAGAAAACAACAGTGTCATTGAAAAACATGTATAGGAATTTCATAGCTACCAAATTATCAACATGACTCCTACATTTGGCAGGACAACATCAATGCAATCCATCTGATTAATTAAATTCCGATAAAACATTATCAGTAGCCTAATTCCTAAAAGGGAATAAACTTATCAGACCAAACTAACTCAAGAGCAACAAATTTCTCAAAGCAATTGGAAAAACTAACATGGACGTTCTATAAAATCATGAGCAAGGTGGAAACTGACACCACCCTTCATTGTAACACCTCATCATATTTATTTTTAGGCATAACTATTTAAGGTAAGTGATAAGGCGTGGCAATTTTCTATGGCCAGGACTCAAGGCGTGAGGTGAGGCCAACGCCACATCATGAACACGCCGCCATAGATGTTCTTCAAAGATATTTCTCACGCACAGTCTTATCCCCAAACTCTTCCGTAGAAATCAATCAAAAGATCTGGATCATGTTATCCTTCGTTGCCCTTTCCCCAGATGCTCATAGTACAAAGCATTGTGGTAGTTGCACAGGGCACGACTGGCTACAAATTAAGATCGACCGAATAATTCTCTTACACTACTTAGCTAAAAATCCAACTCACATTTAATTCAACCCGACTCCGCTCAATATTATCAATATAATTAAAAACTATCAATCAATCATCCTCACACATCACATCAACTTTAATTCACTATTCATCTACTCACATATTTTTAAATATCTATCAATTACAATAACATCTCTCCTACTTTTAAATCACATCAACTTTAGTCACACATTTTAAGTATTATTTAAATACAAATTTAAAACCTCACTCAATCCACTTTATTTAAGATTAACTCACTTTAACCAATAAATCCGTTTTATTTATATCCAATCGCTCCCCAGTGGTCGGTACAAGTTGCTTAGATTTTTCCACACAAATTCGCAGCTGTCAAAGTCAAGTGCATTTGCGAGTAAGCGCCAGTTTGCTCAAAAAGAAAGTACACGGGAACCATGGAAAAATTGGGAGGAATCTCATAAAAAAGTATGGCGTAGAGCGAAGTTACAGGTAACATGGTGGGTATTGAATCACAACTAGTGTAGTTTTTTTTTTTATTTCACATACCGTCAAAGACTACGCTGCGTTGTTGAGATGTCTTTACGTAATGTCTATTACAATCTTTTTTTAAAGAAGAGCAAGGAAAAGTATGAACGGAGAAGAGGGGACTTTCCTCACCATTCCTTAATGGTATGGCTTTCAATGACTAATAATATGCAAGTTAGAATGTGTTTCCCTAAGTCTCAAGGAAAAATTATTCTCATGCACAAAATCACATGAAATTTTGCAGCTATGAACTTAAAAGGAATTACACAAGACAATTTCCACCCCTCACCCACAAACCAAAGGTCTATATGTATGTAACCTTTGAGCTTTTCCACTAACACCCAAACAATGTGCTTGGGTATCTACCAGTGTTATTAATGATGGATGGCGGTACATGGAGGTTTGCCAAAATTCCGGTATAGGCGGCTTATTGCACCACCATAGCCGCCATCCTTTACAAATTTTGCGTGGCGGATTGTCAAAAATCTGCCACACCATACCGCCATAGCCGCCATACACTGGTATCTATATTCTATAGAACACATGCCACAAAATTTTAGTAGAATGAAAATAAACAGAGGTTGTGGTGCACAAGTGAACTTCATCAGTCATACTGTTACCTCAAACTTGCATACATACATAATCAAAGAAGCACCCAAGTTAACAAATTTACATAATGACAACCTTGCTCCCACAAACTCACACCTACACGGCAACCCAATAAAGAGACAGTAATGCGCGAAAACAATGATAGTTATTGTTGAGAACAATGCTGTGACATGGCAAGCAAGGTTCTATATATATGAAAACCTGAATGGACAAATACTCTGAAAAATGTGATATCCTAAAGAAATCTTACGAACACAAACTTGGATATTGGAATTTACATAAACTGCCAGAATAAAAGAAATGTTTCATCCTTTTTAATGGCCATGCTATAGCACGAAATATACCAAAAAAAAAAAGAAAAAGAAAAAACTTTCACAACCCTGCTATGGATAATAAAGCTAGGTGGAAAGCATTAATTACAAGCAAGTACGCCAAAATAAATACCTCTCATCCAAAAGTGTATCAATCAATGGAAATAAACCACGTTTGAAGTCCGTGCCAAGAACATGCTTCAGAGCTACCAATAGTTCCTGGAATGAGCTTCACAAATCAATTTCCGCTCGTCAAAAAAAAAAAAAAAAACCAATCAAAATTGCAAATCAAACCCAACCTTCCGAATTGAAACCGAGTCAGAGCACGTGACAAGCAGATTCACAATGCTTTTACATATGCTTTCCTCATGTTGTTTTATGTAATCAGTAAAGCTCTTCAGCAGGTAAGTTAAGAAAGAAACCGTCTGCATGTAGAAAATGGAAAAGAGCACAAGTGATTAACTATGCTAAGGAGCGTTTGAAGAATTGGAGTGGATAAAATCAAAATTAAAAAGTATAACTGGAATATTTTATAGGAAAAGGAAAAATTGTCCTACATTAATAGCTTCCATATTGTGGTTATAGAGGAAAAATGTATTAATTATCAGTTGATGTTTAAACTACAAATTGATATCTTTATACAGTGTAACAAACTTCATGTTCAGACTTCAGATTTACACACCGCAAACAAGTAACCAAAATTATTGGGCATCATACACACAGCCTACCTTAACTTGTGCGCCCTTCAGCTCAATAAAATGAGCCTTTAGATGGGGTGGGACCTTCTCTGGACCTGGGACTGAGATTGCTGCCACCATCAATGGCAATAGGTGTGGGATATTAGTCTGAACGAGACGCCCATACAATTGAAATAGAAACATAACAACGAGCGGACTCTCTGTAACAACTTTAAATGACCTTGTACTGGGATTGAGCTGTCCAGTAGGCCCGGCATAGCTACCCGACGGACCCACTTGATCAGAAATTTCAGTAGGCTTCACATCATCACCACTCAATGATGACCCAATGGAGCCAGAGGTGGACGGTAGGGCTGGTGGTGGTGCCATCATGGCCCCACTCTCAAAGAAGTAACTAGCAGTTGCCCTAAAATTCTGGTAAATTTTGCAGACAAAATCCAGAAATGGCTGGACTTCAGTCTCTAAACTAGGCCTGAAGTTCCTCAGCAAGTCAAAAATAATCCTAATGCAGATTAGTCCGTTTTCCTCATTGTCTGTAGTGAGTACGTGCATCGCTACTTTGAGAAGCTCCTGGACGAAAGGCCTAAGAACTTCACTGTGTGGTAGGCGGTTAAGAATTTCAATTATAATATTGCGCAGCTTGTGCTCGGGATTATCAGCAAACTGGGGCTTGGTAATGTGGTGTAAAATAGCTGAAAATGCACGAAAATAGCACTTCAAGAAGTTCAAATACTCTCCCGTGTGGCATATCTCCAAACTGTCCCGTACCTCCATAGCCATTTGCAGTCTAGTTTGAATTGCTGGCATGAACAGACAACGTGCGAAAAAAGAAAAATCAGTAAACAAAAAGCTAACACGTTGTATAATAAGCAACTAAATAAAAGCAAAAGTGAAGGAGATTTCCATACAGATATCTGGTTCGATCAAGTGCCGAGAGTGTTGCTCGAAATTCTGAACGGGGCTCATCGTCGCTTATTTTACTCAACTGAACCCTAAAACCTCAGTGATAGAGTGAAAAACTGGAGTTCTTGACAATAAACGGTTTGTTGCGGAACAGAGTAGCAAGATTATAACGGAAGAAATTAAACATCAAATTCAGGGAAGGGGAAATGTAAATAAGGTGGTGCACGAGTTGGGGATTATAATATTTTACAGGAACGTTCAGATTGGGGTTGATTGGGAATCTAGGGTTTTGGACGGTGGGAATAACTGAGAGCTAAGTGAAGAAAAACAACGAAGGCTTTCGATTAAGTGATCGAGCAAACCAAACACAGGGATTGCTCGAGATTTTTCCTTCTCGGAAAATGCTCTTGCTCCGTTACAAGAGTCGCCATGTTTATATAATTACTCACCAGCGATTGGTTTCTCATGATGGGAAAATCATAATTACCATCGTTCAATCTCAGGAATTTTTAACCAAAAAAAAAAAAAA